AGCAGGGAACCTGAAACGGAGAGGATGAGGAAGCTCCAGGAGGAACCCGGTGTAAAGGCTCCGAACCTCAAGTTAGAATCCTTCAAAGGCGAGATAAAACCAGATAGCGCAAAGTTTGCATACATCTTCTTTGGGGGGTGGAGAGCCTTTTATAACCACCTCGCGCACTCACTCCTAGACTTCTGTCATGTCAGGTATGATTACTTCCGTTCTTCTGCCAACTTGGGTGTCACCTCTACTAGGGCAGAACCGTCACTGCTCTTTTTGTCGGAGCCGTCTCTGTAACTGGAGATGGCGGTGGCAGGTGACGGTGGCAGGTGGCCATTGAAGTGCGGCCGTCAAGCGTTAGATCCCAAGTCAGTCAGGTGCGCNAGATCCCAAGTCAGTCAGGTGCGCCGCCCCTGGATACGGACTCCTTCGATGTCAGGTATGGTGTGGTTTGTCCAGTTCAATGCTCTGGAGGCGAAGTGCTGGAGCGGTGTGCGAGGCGAAGTCTTGAGTTCGGATAGGGGAATGTCCCGAACTGCCATGAGGCGGGCTAGTTCGGGTCACTGCTTTGTGTGGCTCAGGGCCAAAGGGAGAGTTCGGGCTCCTCGTGGGGAGTTCGATCTCTTAGTAGGGAGGTCGGGCTCCTCTTAGGGAGTTCGGGCTCCTCGTAGGGAGTTCGGGCTCCTCGTAGGGAGTTCGGGCTCCTCGAAGGGAGTTCGGTCTCCTCGAGGGGAGTTCGGACTGCTTGTTTCTTCCCTTTGGTGTTTGCACCCTGGGTACGCTGTTTCAAGTGCCGAGCTACTTGTTTTTTTGCCACGTGGCGTGATTGCGAGGCCAGGCCAAATCTTCCTTCATCACTAACTAATGCTTAAAATAGATGAGTTGGTGGACCAATGTAGGGCTGATTAAATATCATATCATATGTATTAGATATAATATACTTAGTGACATAAACCCAAAGCCCAGTTTGTTCTGGATGCAAATTAGGAACTTCTCCTATACTTGTATTTATTATTTATGGGGAGATGTTCCCAATACACTTAGGGGTGTGGTTGTGATGTCAGGTTGGTGTGAGGAGCAGATCCCAATTTCTTTTTATTCCAATGATGGCAGGAATAGCAATGCAGCGGACACCCCTCCATGTTCCCACCATGTAGCGAAAATCTCCGGCAACACTCCTTCCCTGGGGTGGTGGGGCAGGGATTCAACCCTCCATATGGGGAGTCCCTGTCATTTCTCCCCCTCGAGGAAATCCCTAAAAATTACATTAAATCTAAGAAGTATTTTAGAAATAGAATTATGGAATCCTAGACTTTTGGGAATTTGGGGACAATAGAATTATAGAAACCCTAGATCACCTTCTATACTCAATGGTATATTAAAAATTAATGTTAAACCAAGGGCTATTTTAGTAATTTATCACTAAGTTTGGGGTGGGTTAGGAATTATATACAGACCTCATCCCTGATTCAAGGCAAAAAGAAAATTTTCTCATCTCTGCCTGTCCTCATTTAAGATCGGAAAAAACTTACTCTATTCGGGCATAATTGATTGAGGCCGGAAAAATTGTCATCCCTAAATGATGGATTCAAAGGAGGGAGGGAGAAAGGTCCCTTTGAGTGCTTGGGTTGCGTTAAGACAAGTGTTGCCAAGGTAAGCATGAGTCTGTTCTTACTTCTTGGCATTTAAACACCAAACCTTAATTTCCATTATTGTTCATTTTTAAAAGAAAGGTTGATCTTACAGTGAACGCAAGTCTGTAAGTTTTCCAAGCTCGGCTGGGATGCTTCCGGACAATGCATTGATACGAAATGACCTAGCAAGATAAATAAACAAGTATTACACACAAAGAAAGCAATAAAGCCTTGTTTGGGATTTCTAGAAGACATTTTTCTTTTTCAAAAGCAAAAATCAGAAAATTGCTTCTTTTGGCTTTTGTTTCTCCAAATATCAGATTAATGTGTGATTGAGATGGTCACATTAAAATTCCATTACCTTTATGCATGCTTCCATGGTTTTTGAACTATTGTTGACCCGGATGGGGACTGTTCAGCTTGAGAACCGTTCAGGCAACCGGTTCTGTTTTACCCCAAACCTGGTCTCTGGCAAAAAACTGTTGAAAAGGTCAATGACTTGTTGACCTGGACGGTCGAACCGTCAACCCATTCAGCGGTTTTGGCCATTTTTAATTATTTTTGTCAAAATAAACTATTTATTCAAACCAGACGATCAGACCATCCTCCCAAAAACCGATGACCAGAACATTTCCAGGCTATTTTCTAAAACCATACATGCTTCAAATAATTATTAAATGAATGTAGTAATATAATCCTAAAACTTTCCTTGTATCAAATTTTCAATAAAGAGGTTGACTTACAAGTATTGCATTGCAGATAAATTGCCAAGAAATGCGGGCATTGGACCTGTCAAATAATTTTGATCCAGCTTCCTGCAAGAACAGTATTACAATAACACTTAACAGTAATGGTAACAACAAATGAATCAATTAGCAGCATCAGTACTGCTTAATTAATCTAACACGTAGACCTTATTTTGTATAGTTCAATTTCTTTATGCTAGAAGGAATATCTCAAGGTACATAATAGGCTTCAAAGTATTGTCCACGAATCCATTACCATAGAATAAATTAATCAATTCCATGAATACTATTCATATATTAATGTTTGATAGATTGATTAATATTTTATAAAAGGATACAATGTTGCACCCGGTTCAGTTTTAATCCATTTGTAATAATGATTTGCATTCTTATCTGATATAAAACTTGTAGTTTTTCATCTGAAAAACGGATGCAAAACTTTTGCACAATATTCCTCGACCCCTCCTCAATTTTCTCTCATATAAAGTGGGACATCGTCTTGCTTCTTACTTCACTCCTAAACAAATAACCTTCACCCACCTCCATTCTCTTTCATATAACATGAGTTCATATCATTTAACTCCATATTTTACTAATAATAAACATATAAGTAAAATTTGAAAGTAACATAAACCAGAATTTATACTCAGCCTATTTGCACTCCCTGTATTATACCAAAGGCTCAGTTTAGAAAGAGTATAAATACAAATATATACAGTGCAAAACTCCTTCCAAACTGAGCCAAAGCAAAAGAAATTTGCACTGCAAACAAACTAAGCCAAACAATGAGAAAGCAACAAAGAAGGGAAACCCACACCAAGGGTTGGGGTATATATGTTGGATCATCAATATATGATAAGTGTTTTTGATGGAGTGTGCACTGTCTTGGGCATGGGATGGGCTGGATATTTAGTAGATCTAATTAGCTAATTTAAGTCCGGGTCTAAAAAATTTTTATGCGTTATTGGATCCAAATCCAACTAGGATCCATATAGATAAATCCATATCTATTCCAATTTAGTATAACTCAAACCAGATTCAATCCTATCTATCTATCTATCTATCTATCTATCTATCTATATATATATACTACCATTAAAAATAATAATCAGCTTGTGGAACTTTTCTTGAATAAAATGTCCCTACTAGAGAATTTGGTCTTTCTCAATTGTGAGGGCATAAAAATTGAATTATTACTTTTCACCTCATTCAATTCCCTTTCATTAACTCCTATATCTAAGGTATGAATTCTTATTTTTTTCATCATACAATTATATTAATTATATCTATATCCAAATACTATTAATAATAGAAAACCTATGTATTTTAAAGTCAACCCAATAAGAAACCATTCTTTTGTCTAACTGGTGGATTAACAATTCAACCATCTAGGTCAAGTGGGTTGACCTATGATGTCATAGGCAAATAATAATTTTTTAAGATACAAATAAATACAAAAAGTACAAAAAAAAATAAAAGGTGGAAAATTTAGGCTCAAATCAGATATTTTGTATTAATTTAATTATATTAAAGAAAAATAAGTATGATAAATAAGAATTGTTTTTATTAATGACGAAAATGAAATACAAAATTTAAAACTGACCAAAAAACAAAATTGTTCTATTGTTTGGTGACAGGCCAACAATTCAACTTTTCGGGTCAAATGTTTTACCCCTTGATGTCATACTTGAATAATAAAACTCAAAAAAAATATAAAACACCAAAAAAAAAAAAATACATAAGCTTTGTGGAAAACAATTGGGTATATCTCTATTCATCATAATATACGAAAATAAGTGTGATAAATGATAATTATTTTTATATACATAGAAGTTAAAAAAAATGAAAATTTTGCAAAGATATTATTTCTATTATTTTTATCATCTAAAATTGCCACATACAAAGCATGTACTTATTGTTAGTAACTTATAAATTCATAAACTCAAGTTAAATGTTGAAATAGGTTGTGTTTCATGCTATGACTGTTTCTATCTGAAACGTTTTGGATTGATAGCCATTTAAACTAGAATGATTAGAGTTCACCCCATGAGCAAGAAATGTTAATTTTACGTTCTACAAACAACCTCCTACACATCCATTTTTACGGTATGCCATTTCAATAATCCAAACCCACTAAATATGGATATGATATAGGATCCCATATATACCCAACTAATACTTTAGGAAAACACATGGAATACCCGGATTAAAAGAATTTATACAGTATTGAGCCGAAGCTCTCAGACCCGATTCATTTAAATTTTAGCAAATGATCCAAAAATAAAACTCAACGTGGTTGATGAACATAAAGCTTACTAAAGGTAGAGATTGAAAAGAAACCATACAAGTTGGTGAGATAAGTCAAACTGGCCAGCTCGTCTGGTATCACCCCCTTCACATTCAACGCATATACTCTTCTGTCAAAGCAAACAAAACAAAATAGAGCTAGAGAGAGAACAATGTCCCGTTATGGGTCAAACGATTTGATTATGAATCGTACAAATAATCAATATATAGAATAAAAAGATATAAGAGGTGTTTGATTTCATTACCGTTTTTTAAAAAACGACACCACATTGGAGTTTCATCAGGGATTCTCAAAAATGGCAAAAAATGCATTGCAATTTGTGGTTTGATTGGTTGTTTTCTATTCTCAAATGTCAGTGCCACTTCGGCCTTCGGGAAATGTCATTTTAACGTTTTCTTGTTGGTCTTCCAAGGGTCCATTTGCTTCCAACCATTTAATTTTCTTGTTGGTCTTGTTGGTCTTCCAAGGGTCCATTTGCTTCTAAGGGTCCAAGGGTCCAGTTCCACCAGGAATGAAAACGGGATTTTGATTCCGTTCAACCAAATAATTAGAATTGGAATGAACCATTTCTTTTATTTTAAATTTTTATTGCCGAAAACCAAACAGGCCCTGACCCGGGCGTGTCGTGAAAAAACCAGCCGAATCATTCAAACCCGGTCCTGATGGTTGAATTTAGAGTCTTGAGAGAGAGAGAGAGAAAGGGAGAGAGGAACACATACAGCTTTGTAATGTGGCAGGTGGTTCCGTTCTTGTAATTACAGTCGCATCTGATCGCAGGGTTCTCGGGAGTGTTATCGATGTCACTGGAATTGAGGGCTGCTCCGCTGCACGGTTCTCCACTGATATTCCACGAATTACCGGCTTTGATTTCCCATTGTCGAAACATGGAGTTCAAAGCGCTCACTGTATCACAACATAAACACATGATGATCAAAACCAACGCACACCGGGTTGCACACATTGCGATTTGCGAATTGAAGTGGAGGAATAGAATAGTGGATGTGGGTCCCGACTCCCGATTGCGAAAGGTGGCGACTATTGGACTATGTGATGTTTGGGCCCCACATGAGAGCTGCCGACGACTGTGACGGATCAGCCACCATCAGCGCCATCAGCACGCCATCTAAGTGTCTTGGGTTAGGTCTTTGTACTTTTTTTGTAAAGGGGGGTATGCCAATGATAATTATGTAAATAGTAGTATGAATATTCAATATTTTGATGTATCATTCTGTCACTCCCCCAAAAGCTTAACGTACTCTTTGAGGGGAGGTAGGTAGGCGAGTGAGCTCATAAGCGTGTAAAAGTTAAGCACGAGATCCCCTTGACACTGTACTATGTGCTTGTGCTTACCACTGATTAATGCAATACAAGTTACCTTTTGTCTAATTTGTGTGCATTTTGTTTCCTTTTGTGTGTTGTTGTTTGCATTTGTAGGCTTTCTCGACCCCATCGAGCGCCGCACGGGGCCCGTCGATTAATCCCGTGACAGTTGGTATCAGAGCCTCGTTGACACTAGCGGTTGTCCAGCCCAACGAGTCCCTGTCGTGCCCCGCAACAACACCAGCCCGATGAAGAGTCGTGATATGTGAGAGGAGATCCAGGAAGGGATCTCACGGGTTTATGATGAGAACGAGCCTAGAGGTAGCTCTCCCAAAGACAAAGGCGTCAGCTCAAAGCCTAGTAAGCGTGACAAGTCAGTTGACAAGCTTGCGACCATGGACAAGCGCATCATGCGCTGTGAAGCAGTGGTTGGGGAAACTCGTGACCGTGTGGACGAGCTTCAACTCAACCTTGGGTCCGTAGCAGCGGTTGTGGAAAGATTGGAGGACCAGTCCGGTGACGGCTCCAACAGGCCAGACAACCCACTAGAAGACCTGGTGAAGTGCCTACAAATCCAACTCGACGACTTGAAGGGCGAGGTGACCCTTCTGAAGAGGTTGATGGCTAGTACAACCAGTGCACCTGCTGCTCCAGCCCCTCCAAAGATCAAAGTCCGCGAGCCCACCTCATATGCAGGGACCCGTGATGCCCGGGAACTTGACAACTTCCTGTGGTAAATGGAACAATATTTCACCGCTGCCGAACTCATTGAGGAGGTGGCCAAGGTGYGTACTGTTGTTATGTATCTTACTGATGTTGCTATGTTATGGTGGCGCAGGAGATGTGCCGATGCAGAGCGAAGATTATGCTCCATTGATACCTGGCCGTGTTCAAGAGCGAGATAAAGCGTCAGTTCTATCCAGAGAACGTGGAGTACCAAGCCCATTGGAAGCTCAAGAACCTAAAGCACACGGGCTCATTGCATGAGTACGTGAAGGAGTTCTCCGCACTACCGCTCGAGATCACGGACATGTCAGACAAGGACTTACTCTTCAACTTTGTGGACGGCCTACAACAATGAGCCGAGCTTGAACTCCAAAGATGAGGTGTGAAGGACCTTGCCACAACCATGGGTGTTGCTGAACAACTGGTAGACAACAGGCGACCAAGCAAAGACGGCCCCAAACCCAACTCATATCAGGGCCTAGGGAAGATAGGAGGTGATAGGAAACCTTACTACGGGCCCAAGGGAGACTCCGGGCCAAGTAAACCCAACACTTTTAGGTTCTACAGGAGACCTGAAGGGGACTCTGGATATAAGGGTGGCCAGTTTGTGAAGGGAACACCTCCAGCACCATGCTTCATCTATGAGGGAAAACATTGGATGAAGGATTGTCCTAGTCGGGGGAAGCTCAATGCCTTGCTTGCAAAGCTTAGTGATGATGAGCACACTGAGGAGGAGAAGGAACTAGAGGAGACAAGAATGGGGGCTCTATGAAGACTCGATGTAATGAAGAAGAAGGCGAGCCTGCAAGAAGCACCGAAGTTCAAGCCGAAGGGACTGATGTATGTAGACATTTGCTTGAATGGTAAGCCCACAAGATCCATGGTGGATACAGGGGCTACACACAACTTTATCTCTATGGAGGAGGCATCCCGAGTAGAACTTGCACCTAGCAAGGAAGTCGGATGGTTGAAGGTTGTGAACTCTAATGCCAAACCCATACAAGGTGTAGCTCGTGGGGTGGTCTTGCAACTTGGTGATTGGGAAGGGATGATAGACCTCTCAGTCGTGCCCATGGATGATTTTCAGGTTGTTCTCGGCATGGACTTCTTAACTCAAGTAAAGGCGGTGCCCATGCCCTTCCTCAACTCAGTGTGCATATTCGAAGATCAAGCTCCTTGCATGGTTCCAGTTGTGCCAGAGACCAMGTCCACCCCCAAGATGCTCTCAACATTGCAACTCAAGGATGGAGTGCGGAAAGGAGAGATCACTTACCTAGCCACATTGGTGGACTCCGACCTGCCTGACCTACCAACCAGGCATATCCCGCCAGCAATTACAATGGCACTAGAAGAATTCCAGGATGTCATGCCTCCCACATTGCCGAAGAAGCTTCCCCCAAGGAGAGAAATTGATCACAAGATTGAGTTGGAGCCTGGAACCAAACCACTAGCACGCCCGCCATACAGAATGTCTCCTCCCGAGCTGGCGGAGCTACGAAAGTAGTTGAATGAGTTGTTGGATGTTGGGTTGATTCAGCCTTCTAAGGCCCCTTTTGGAGCACCAGTCCCGTTTCAAAAGAAGCGTGATGGATCTCTTCGGCTCTGTATTGACTACCGAACTCTCAACAAGCTCACCATCAAGAACAAATATCCCATACCTTTGCTGGCCGACCTCTTTGACCAACTCAGCCGAGCCAAGTACTTCACCAAGCTAGACCTGAGGTCGGGGTACTATCAAGTGCATATAGCCGAAGGGGATGAACACAAAACAGCTTGTGTTACCCGATATGGGTCCTTTGAGTTTCTTGCCATGCCCTTTGGGCTCACTAATGCTCYAGCCACATTTTGTACATTGATGAACAGAATATTTCATCCCAACCTGGACCAATTTGTTGTTGTGTATATTGATGATATTGTAATTTACAGTAAAACCTTGGAGGAACATGTTGACCCCCTTCGTACTGTTTTCTAGGTCTTGCGAGACAACGACATGTTTGTTAAGAAGGAGAAATGCTCTTTTGCCACAGAAGAGGTGAACTTCCTCGGCCATATAATTCGAGCAGGCACAATCAGCATGGATCCAGCTAAAGTCAAGGCCATTCAAGATTGGGCACCTCCCACCAGGGTCACCGAACTTCGTTCCTTCCTTGGCCTCGTGAACTACTATCGAAGATTCATCTCTGGATTCTCAGCACGAGCCACTGTCCTCACCAACTTACTGAAGAAGACTAGCATGTGGACCTGGAATGAATGTTGCCCAACAACTTTTGATGATTTGAAGAGAGCTGTCTCGGTAGAACCTGTCCTCGACTTGCCTGACCCAAGCAAGCCGTATGAGCTACACATAGATGCTTCTGACTTTTCCATTGGTGGGGTCTTAATGCAAGAAGGACATCCCATCGCCTATGAGAGCCACAAATTGAATGATACAGAGAGGAGGTACACTGTGCAAGAGAAGGAGATGGCAGCCAACGTCCACTGCCTCCGCACATGGTGACACTACTTGCTGGGCTCCAAGTTCGTGGTCAAGACTGACAACATAGCTACTGGTTAGTTTTAGTCACAGAAGACGCTGAGCCCTAAACAAGCTCGATGGTAGGATTTCTTAGCGGAGTTTGACATGACTCTAGAATACAAGTCAGGGCCGATGAACAGGGTTGCTGATGCACTTAGCAGGAAGGCCGAGCTTGCATCATTATCAACAGGTGAAGGTCCCTTTAAAAGCCATATTAGACTGGACCTCATTGATCGCATCAAGGAAGGACTCCAGAAGGACCCCATTGCTCAAAGCTTATTGACAGCTGCTTGTGAAGGGAAGACCAAGCGATTTTGGGTTGAAGAAGGCCTTATGGGTAGGACACCCTGGGTGGCAGCGTACCTTGGCACTTCTACAACATGCCTACTATTGGCCTCATATGGAGCAAGATGTTCGAGAATACACAAGGACATGCCTGATTTGCYARCAAGACAAGMYTGAGCGKGCCAAGCCTCTTGGACTCCTACAACCTCTTCCAACGCCCTCACAACCTTGGGAGAGTGTTTCCATGGATTTCATCAGCGATCTTCCTAAGGTGGGAGACTATGCATCCATTATTGTTGTTGTTGATAGATTTTCCAAGTATGTCACTTTCATCCCAACACCAAAGCACCTTTCAGCTGAAGACACGGCATACCTTTTCTTCAAGCACGTGGTGAAATATTGGGGAGTCCCACAGAACATTGTTACTGATCGGGATCCCCGATTCACTAGTGCTTTCTGGACAGAGCTATTCAAGCTTCTTGGATCGAACTTGAACTTCTCCAGCAGCAGCTATCCAGAGTCAGATGGGCAGATAGAGAGAATGAACTCCCTCCTTGAAGAGTACCTCCCCCATTTTGTATCAGCTACACAGAAGAATTGGGTTCGATTGCTGGACATTGCACAGTTCTCCGTCAACACACAGAAGAGCTCCTCCACCAATCARAGTCCTTTTGAAGTCATCACCGGTCAACTACCAAGATGTCCGCACAGCATCATCAACGACCATCAAGGGGGAAGCCCTCGAGCCTTCACTTTCACCAGGGAATGGAAAGAATGCCTTGACATCACACAAGCCTCACTAGAGAAAGCCTCCAAAAGAATGAAGAAATGGGTCGATTTTGGTAGACGACTTGAGAACTTCCAAGTAGGTGACATGGCCTTAGTAAAACTCCATACCCATTGCCTTAGGTTCTTTCGAAGAATACACCCCGGGCTTGTGAGAAAATATGAGGGACCCTATGAAATCCTAGCCAATGTAGGAGCATCAGCCTATAGACTCAAACTACCTCCTTGGCTAAAAGTACACTCTATTTTTCATGTAAGCCAACTTA